GCATCAGCGTGGGGGAAGCTTCCAGTTCTCTGCTGAATAAGGAAAAACGGACAGATACATATTGCACAAAGCAGTCTTGGGGGCCTGGCCAGTGTGCCCAGTGGTTAGAGCATCGTTCCATGCACTGAAGGGTCATGGGCTGGATTCCAGTCAGGGCCCATACCCAGGTTGTGGGTTTGACCCCAGTTGGGGGGTGTGTGTGAGGCAACAGTTCAATGTTTCTCTTTCCCATCAATGTTTTCTCTCTCTCTCTCTCTCTCTCTCTCTCTCTCTCTCATCAATGAAAAAACACATAACAAAACATATCCTGGGGTGAGGTTTAAAAAAAAACAGTCTTGGGGGATGCTGTGGTGTTCCCGCGAGACTGCAGGATAAGCTAGAAGATCTGAGTTCTCAGCCTGACGTGGCCCCTTTTTATCTTCGAGATCTTGGGCAATTGTTTTTGTTTCTGTGTCTGTGGAGTGAAAACAATGATACCCACTTCTCAGATTGTTGGGAGGCTTAAAGAAGATGGAAGATCTAGGCCCGGCTCAGTGATGGCCCTCAGAGGGTCCTCAACATTCTGAATGTAAAACACCATCATGTTACACATGTAAATGGGTTATGACAGCCATGTGTCACATGATATTTTAGTAAAAAACGGACTGCATATACAGATTGGTCCCATAAGATAATGGAGCTGAAAGTTCCTGTTGCCTAGTGATCTAGCTTTCATGATGCTGTAGTACAATTGAAAATTAAACTTGGTGCAGCCTAAGTGTACAGTGTTTATGAAGTCTAAGTAGTGGACAGTAATGTCCCAGGCCCTCACATTCACCCACTCACTGCCTCACCCAGAGCAGCCTGCTGTCCTGCCAGCTCCATTCACGGTGAGTGCCCTGTGTGGGTTATCTTTTACCCCATATTTTACTGCACCTTTCCTATGTTTAGTTATATGTAGATACACAAATACCACTGTGGTACAATTGCCTACAGTATTCAGCACAGCCCCATGCTATACAGGCTTGTAGCCTAGGAGCCATAGGCGACACCATATAATCTAGGTGTGCAGTAGGCTGTACCATGTAGTTTATGTAAGTGCATTCTGAGAGGTTCACACAATGACAAATGACCTACGACGTATTTCTCAGAACGAACCCCTGTCGTTAGGCAGGGTCTGACTGTATCCCAAAGCTAGAGTTGGGCATCTTCCCCTCTTCCATCCTCAACCTGAAACTTGGAGCCGTACATTTACATTCTGAACTCCCAGGTGAAATGCTGAAAGCCCTTCTTCAAGGCCTCTGTCTTGGGAACGTGCTGCCTGTGAATTTTGGGGTCTCATTTCCTGGGCTGTGGAGGAGCTGTAGGGGCAGCCGCTTGGCTCGCCTGTGGGCACCTCTTTCCTGTGGCAACGAGCCCGTTCTCTGGTTGGTGCCACCACACTCCATGGCCAGTGCAGTGAGGAGGGCAGGGGCTACTTGCTCCCAGCCCAGCAGGCAGGAGGGCACCAGCGCAGAGGGTGCTGGAGTGAGTGCTCTCCTGACCTGGACAGAGTGAGGGGGCTTTTATGGCTCCCTCCTCTCTCTAAAGAAAAATATTAAGTACATAACAGGTCTTATGGAATTATATAGGGCATGATGGTGAGGATTAAATGAGAATGACTGAAGTTTGGGATATTTGGAATATTCTGGGCCAGAAGCTGGCATGTATTTCTTGGCTGCAAAGGCTGAACTGAAGGATGGTTCCATGGTGCCTAAATCGGGGGAAGTCACTGGGCTGACGGTGGTTGGAGAGGGGAGGCTGGCTAAAGGCAGACAGCACGCGCGTGCGCACGCGCACACACACACACACACACACACACACACACACACACACCATACACACACACACACACCATATACACACGACCATATTTTTTAAATGTATGCATCTCCCAACCTTGGGTGGGTGGGTGAGGAGTGATTAACGCTTTGGAGAACAGAATTAAGAGTCACAAGGATCTCCAGAGGTTGAAAGATAGGAGGAAAACAAGAGGAAATTGAACAGGAATTCATTCAGTTAAGAAATACTTATTGAGCACTGACTAGCCAGGTGCCACTCCAAGTGCAGAGGACACAGAAGTGAGGAAAGAGACAAAATCTCTCCCTCGTGGAGCTCACATTCTAGTGCAGGGAGACTGGCATATGTAAAACACATGGTATGTTAGGAAGCGATAGCGCGAAGCGGAAAGAGAGCAAGCAGGGAGGGGGATAAGAAGTGTCAGAGGGGGGATGGCCTCAGTGTTGCAATTTTGGTTGAGGGCAGCCAGGGAGGGTGACTTTCAGCTACGTGGGTATCCAGGGAGGAGCATGCCTGGAAGAGGAAACAACCGTGCAAAGGCCCTGAGGCAAGCGTGTTCCTGGCATCCTTGAGAATGAATTAAGGAATAAACTAGGCTAGGCCTCTTTCATGCCCTATACTTATTTTTCCTTATCATAATTGCAATTAAATACTTGTCTAATTACCTTTTCAGTGTCTCTTTCTCTACTAGGCTCTAGGCTTTCTTGGTGCCAGGGCTGGGCCTTCCTCTCTGCTAAATTCCTAACTCTCAGCACAGGCCCTGCACGTAGTAGGTGCTCAACCATATTTTGTTGAGTAAATGAATAAATGTGAATAAATGGCTTTTGGGTGAAAAACTCTACCACATAAGCAGAACAGGCTTGAGAGCAGTTAGAGAGAGAGAGGCCAGGGAGTTGTAGCTGTGGCCAGGGGGCACTTAGGGGCCACTTAGGGGGAACTTATGGGGATGCCATGAGAAATGCAGTGAGAGACAGGGGCTATGGGGAGCTACAATGAGCTGGGCTGGCCAGGGGCTTTCTCTAAGGCAGGATAAGGTGACAGGGACTGCAAAGCTCCAGGTGTGGGTGAGAATGGTTAACCTGGAGCAGGAATATAACCCCATAGATAGAACCCATTAGAGCCTTTGTATTTGCCAGGCTTAATATTAAGTCCAGGGTTTGAGCCCTTTGCACCTTTGCTGCTGCATAGATTGGGATCCCTAGCGTACTCTGGTGTGCAGGAACAGATAACTCAGACTGAGGGGCCGAGCATTCAAATCTCCAAACAATTTGGTCCTTTTCTGCATCACTGCGTAATTTTTTCTACTGGGAAACACATGTGACAGCAGCATTTGAGAACCTGGGCATTTGAGAAGGTCCCTCCATGAGTAAGAACTCATCTCCTAAAAAACAAGTGCTTACTGGTGCCCAGTGTATGCCAGACCCTGAACTAGATAGACTGGTGGACAAGACAGACAAGTGGAGTACTGGTCAAAGGTTTGGTGGGCAGTGGTCTGTGCTGGCTGGGGGTCCTGGATCCAGCCTCATCAGCCGTGTGGGTGGCCTTAGGCAAGTTACTCAGACCACAGAGCACTGGGTCAGAGCAGGCTTAGAGGTCACCTGGTGCAATCGCTTAGGTTACTCAAGGGTGCACAGTCGGCACCCCGCCCTACAGCCAATGGGACCTCAGAGTCTTTAAGTGTAAAATGAGGGCATTGGACCTTGAAGCTCACTTGGGCTCGAATACTCAATAATATTTCAAGTATGGGGAAGTTCCAAGGAGGTGGATTTGGTCCCATCTCAAGTGTGTGAGCTCTGTCTTCAACTTAAAAAAAAAATTGATTTCAGCGAGGAAGGGAGAGGAAGAGAAAGATAGAAACAGCAATGATGAGAGAGAATCATTGATCAGCTGCTTCCTGCATGCCCCCCACTGGGGATCGAGCCCGAAACCGGGGCTTGTGCCCTAACCGGGAATGGAACTATGACCTCAACCACTGAGCAGTCTTCCCCTTTTTAATACCAGGGTCGGGGGAGGGGTGGTCCAGTCCAGTCCATGGAGATCATTCTCAGGCATATCCGTGGGACCCAGGAGAAAGGCACCTGGCCCTCTTTGCCTCTGCAAAATGATTCTGGGGGTTAGGGCTTGGAGGTGGGTCCTCAATACAATTCAACCCATGTTCCAGGGTCTCTTTCTAGATGGCCCCCTCTCCTGCCTGCCTCCCTCTCCCTGGTGCATCTGGATCCCATACTTGGGTCTTTTCTCCTCTTCTCTTCTTCACCTGCCTCCTCAGTCCCTTGATCTCCTTTGCTCTTCCCATTGAAGGCCTGGCCTGGGATTCCCCTGAGGTCATCTGTGGTTCAGGTTCATGTAGGGGAAGGAGGAAGGGGCTTCTAATCCTCTGAAGGACAGGGTGACCTGCTCCCCTTGTCTGGCTGGGGGAGGGGTGGAGTATCTCTGGGATGGCTTGCACCGCTAGGACTGACTTCCTCATGTCTTGGTCTTGAGTGTGTATTATGCTGAGTCTCTCTTTGACCTTGCTTTGAGTTGCATTAGCAAAAGCTCCAGTATTGTAGCTCTGGAGTACACCAGGCTCTAGAAAAGGAGGTGTGTGTGTGTGTGTGTGGGGGGGGGGAAACAGGGAGAAATAACTCTCTAGCCATGTACAGAAGAAATTTTAGAAATTTCTAAACAACCAGAGCTGTCTGATACTGCTCACCAGCAGTGGAGGAGCCTCAGTGGTGAGGGTGGTGGTGGTGGTTGTGGTGGGGGCTGGATGCCTCCTTCCAGGGGTCCTGCAGCAGAGGAGACCCACTCAATGTTAGACGCGCTCTGGGGTTCCTCCACTTAGCAGACTGTCAGGGCAGAGACAGTATCTATCCCATGGGGAACCCCAAGCTCCTGTTTCTGCTCCCAGCTCCCCAAGGCAGCATGTTTCTAAACGCATTTTATTTCCTAGCCTGGGTGCCTCTGATCTGTCACCTGACAATGCGGTGCTTGACTTGGAGAGGGGCTGGCCCTGGGTGTTTGTGGAAGGGACACAGGCTGGGCTCATGCTCCATTGGCCGTGATCCTGGATGGAGATGCCCGGTTTGAGTGGGGTGGTGCCTCATGGATGATTGCTGGGTTGGGCAAGAGGAGGGACTTGGACACCCTGTTTTTCGGTTTCGTTTCCAAACCCTGAAGTATTTTTTAGTCAACCCTGACAGTAACACGTCCTGGCCTCTCAGTGCTGCAAAGTGCCTTCCTTCTCCAGCTCTTATAGGTAGATTTTTCCTTGAGAGGCTTCACTTACCTCTGTCTAACATCTCCAAGGCATTCAGGTTCTCTGTCTGACCCCCTCCACCCTTTTCCCCCTTGAATGTCTTTCCTTTCTTCCCTGTCTCCTTTTCCAGGAAGTCTTCCTTGACTGACCCTCAGTGATTTTGCTCAGGGTCATTGCTCCCTATCCCCAGTACTGAAGTCCAGGCCTCTGGCTACTTCCTTGTCTTGGGGACAGGCCCAGCTCTCCCTCAGGGTCTGGGTCTCCTTCCTGGGGCTCTGCACGTGCCGGGCACTTATTCTCCAGGTGTGTCAGACAGGTCAGCTGGAGACAGTGACAGACACAGTCAGGCCAAGAACATCTTGCTCTCCAAGGCCCAGCCCAGGCACGGGAGGGGATAAAAGTCTTGTGCCAGGGCCTCAGGGCAGGAACCACACATTTTGACTCTCCTCTGCCTGTGTGCTGCTGTGACTGCAAGTCTCTGCCATGTCTCTTTCCCCCAGCGGGGCCCAGAGGGGCTTCAGTGCTCGCTCAGCCTGTTCTGCTGGCTCCAGAGGCCGAAGCAGGGGTAGCTTCAGCAGCAGGAGCCTCAATTCCTTCGGGGGATGCCGAGGAGGCTCCCGTGGAGTGGCCTGGGGGTCAGGGGGAAGGCCTGGGGTGCGGTTTGGGGTGGGGAGTGGTGGGCCTGGGCTTTCCCTGTGCCCTCCAGGGGGCATCCAGGAAGTGACCATCAACCAGGATCTGCTGACCCCATTGAAGATTGAGATTGACCCCCAGTTCCAAGTGGTGAGGACTCAGGAGACCCAAGAGATCAAAACCCTCAACAACCAGTTTGCTTCCTTCATTGACAAGGTGAGGGTCAACTCAGCTAAGCCCTGCCTCAGTGCACCCCTAGGAGGAAGTTCCCGATGGACTTGGGGATGGGGACGTCTGGTCTACCACTTTCCTAATCTACCTCTGCAGCAAAGAAGTCCCTCTTTGGTCTAATTGGAGTCTCCCTGGTTATGCGGAGACCCTGCAATCCCATGGTTGGGGCTCAGCAGCAGAAAGCTGCCAGCCAGAAGTGGGGAGACCCTTCCCTGTTAATCCTTCTGATCGTGTTGATGTGCTCAGAGTCTTGAGGCTGCCCCTGCCCAGGCTGGGTTGTGGGGCAGGGGAAGGTGGACTGACTACAGGGTCCCTGAGGCTTCATGCTCCAGAGGCTCTGCCCAGGGAGTCCCACAGGGGCCTCAGGGACCCTCTGCTTATGCGCAGGTGCGGTTCCTAGAGCAGCAGAACAAGGTCCTGGAGACCAAGTGGCACTTGCTGCAGCAGCTGGGGGTGAGTGACAGCCCTCGGGGCCTGGAGTCTTTCTTCGAGGACTACCTGGGCCGGCTCAGGAAGTGGCTGGAGGAGCTCCAGAGACAACGAGGGACTCTGGATGCTGAGCTGAAGTCCTGCCAGGACCAGGAGGAGGAGTACAAGGCCAAGTAGGTAGACCGAAGTTCCCCATGGGAACTGGGTGGGGTCTCAGAGAGCTGGATGGGAGCTGTGAGCTCAGG